AGAAGTGGAACTTTAACCCTGTCACACTCATGTGCTAATGTGATAAAGTCAATTAGTTTAGACTTTAAGACAATATTTCAAAAATTAGACTATTCAGCATTTTATATACTTTGATCTTTGCAACTGGAGGGGAAACAAGAAAATTTGGTAAAAACAAATTTCATCTTTCATTACAAAACCCCTAGGATCAGAGAACTGTTTGTTGTTTATCACTGCCAGCAAACTTTTCACATACCATATAGTTTCCTAAATTAAAGCTTAAAACCATCTATTTTCTCAAAATAGACTGTTCTCTCTCCCAATTCCCAGAATAAGGTATCCTATATCCCACTGTATTTACCACAAATCAGGCTCACTTGGTATAAAAATGATTATGGCTCACAGAAATGTAAAACTTCCACTGGCAGTCTCTCAATTTGAACCACAAATGGAAATTTGAACCTGCACTGCAAAAAGAATTTCAGTTTCTTCTCGTGTAACATACACTACAGCTTTAGATTCTGTGGGAAAATTGTCAGAGATTTTTTGGTTGGGGTTTTGGGGGGGGGGGTATATATGTAGAGTAGAAATAATCTTTATATTCAGATTTGTACAATACTTAGCACAGCGTCACCTAATTCACAGCTTAAAAATGTTACAGCAATGCCAGAAACAAATAACAAGCCATACATCCCTATGGAAAATTCAGTATATCCAGCACCTCACCTGGCTGGAGGTGGGACAGCCTGGACTGGAAGCTGTATAGGTGTATCAGCAGAGCACTGCACCTGGCCTAGCAAGCCCAAGATGCCCACAGGGGTCAGGAGATGCGGCACAGCCCTGCCCAGGCAGCTGCCAGGGCTCACATCCCACTGGCCCAGAGCCTGGCAGGCTGATCTGCCTGCAGAACACTCGATGGGAGCACTCTCAGATATTCACAGTAGCACTGCAGTCACATTTCTCTTCACAGAGAAAAGCAAGGCACAACTTCCCAAGGATATTCTGGGATTCGCATTCTCTGAACCTCAGAGACAGGAAAAACAATTCTTATTTCATTTGCTTGCCTGTGTTTGTTCACAAGTGGAATGCATGGTGGAAGATTGTTTACCTGAAGGGAATTGGTAATTGGATTCTGGTGTGTTTTGATTCACTGACCAATTGAATCCAGGTGTGTGTGTCAGGACAGTCACAAGATGAGTGCTTGGCAGATTCAGTTGAGATGTAATGTAACATAGTATAGAATACTACAGTAGAATAAAGTAATTAATTAGCCTTCTGATAAGATGGAGTCCTCATCATTCCTCCCGGTCATCAGGTGAAAATTTCACTGATATAGCACAGGCACAGGAGTTAAACACTTCAACATTTCCCCTTCTGCCACCACAAGCCTTCAGATGAGCAACTCAATCCAGGTCCACTTGTAAACTACAGCCACTCCATTCTGCTTCAGTGTGGCAAACCAGCCAGTATTCCCTAGAAATTCCCTAGAAAGTCTGCACCACTTTGGCTCACTAAACAGGTTATTAAGAAGTAAAACAAAAGAACTGAACTTTGCACCATTACAATGCCAATTTTCCCAGAGCTTCAGATCACAAACTCAGGGAAATATTACAGGAGTAGGTAATACCTTTTTGAAGTGCTCCACATATCAGTCTCAAAGGGAAAACAAAGACAAATTCCAAGACAAAAGGCTACATTAAAGGCATCTGTGATGCCTTTTATTTCTCTCATATCCTGAGAGATTATTTAGTTTCTTAACATCATGTGCTAGGAATTCCAAGTCAGAATTCACACATGAAAAGAAACCAAATCAGAGTTACATATGGAAACAGACTGCTACATTCTCCAAACATTCATTCTGTCTTGTGACGGCACAACAAGCAGAATGAATGCATTAAAGGAACTGCCAGACTTTTAGTCATAAAAATTAAGTGCCTTAGACATAATTGTGTGTTTTTTTGTGGTATTACTGGATGCAAGTATAAACAAAACCAGATATGTGCATTTCTTGATCCAACTTCCCAAAAAACCACTCAGTGGCACAAAGGATGACTGTACTCTCCATTATTGATGTGATATCCCCCTCACAGAGATCCAGTGCTGGCTAGAGACAAAAACTACAAATTAGGTGTGGTCACAAATCACCAGCTGCCACTTAAATAAACAAAATAATTTAAATAATTATTTATATAATATATTTTTAAGTGCATACAACAGTCCAAGGAGGCAAGAAGATTTCAGTCACATGGAAGGAGCTTGGTAAGTAAATCCTGGAGACCTGGTACTTTCTACAATCCAGGAAACTGCAACATAATCACAATTTCCTTCAATGTTTCTGAGCTGTTCCAAGATGACTGCTCACAAGGCAACTCTAAAAGCCATACATTAAATGTAAACCACAGACCTGCCAGGATGAGACTTTTAACTGCAGAATTGAGTCAAATTAAGGTCGCTCAGTGGCAGTCAGGATGGAGAAAATGCCAATTCTGACCTGCTGCTTTTAAAGAAGCATGAGAACAGAGAACAGGCAGCTGTTAGAGGGGCTCACTGCCTGCCAGAAATTATGGTAACATTCATGCCTTCACCCCAATGTACAGGGACTTTCTGGCTCCACCTTTCAAAGCCAGGCAGAAACTGCAGCAAAACTCACAGCAGCTCACCCCACCTAAAAAGCTCAGCTCTGCATTCTAAACAGAAATGTCTTCAGAGGGCTGATCTGGCATTCAAATGCTGGAAACAATATGTTTTATGTAAGCTTTAACCAAAACCATACCCTGCTTTCTGCACTCCCACAATCTTGGATTGCTTAGGTCACTGGCACAAAATTGCAGCTTTGCTCAGCACAGTCAGCCCCATGGGTCAGCTTGATTCCTTTGAAATATTATTAGCTATAGTTTCTGAAATTGTAACCCCATAACTGTCTGCCACAAAAATGTTTGAGAAGCTCCCTAGAATGAATGCAGGCTATTTTATTTTCATTTTCTTTTGCTGTTTTTTTTCTTCATTTATGAAGTTTTTCCTTCTTAATTTTACTGTGAAGTTAAAGAGGCTAAAAAATAATTATTATAATGCATGATACTACAACCAGGACCTATATTCTGACCTTAACTTTCATACCCACACTTCCCACAGTACAGTATTTTCTAGAAATCTCTAGATTTCTAAAAAAAATCTCAGCTCATCTTCAGAAACAGAGCCCTAAGGCAGGAATGAAGTCTCACAAATTAGACTTCAGCCTGAGCCAGCTGCTTTCTCCTAGCATTATTCCCTTTATGACCACCTGTCCCACCTGTTAATGTGTTTTTCCCCTCACCCAGCATCTCCACTACAATGATTTGCCATTCTGGCTGACACACAAATATCAGTGCAAAGGAACCTGGACTAAATCCAGCTTTGTGCCACTTGGTACTTGGAGCTTTGGTAAGGCACCTGCTTGACTGCTGGTATAATTAAATCTGCCTTAAGCCTGGTTTAGTTTATGCCAAGTTCACCTGTGAGGCAAACACAACAGTTTGTTGTCCTTCCTCAGACTGCCTCAATGAGTGAAAGTCTGGGTCAGTTTGGTTACACAAGGGTCTCCTCCCGTACAGCAATTCTTGTTTGCAAATAGCCCAGCACACTCTGCTGAATGAATCTACTGAGATCTATCTATTTATTGAAGGTGAATCCACAAAACAGCCCCTGCACTCCAGACTTGTGATTTCTTGTGGTTTCAAAATTGGCTGCATGCCTGCCTTTGTCAGCATGTTTTTCAAATCAGACCTTCAGGCTGAAAAGTCATCCTGAATTTTCCTCCTTGGGCAGAATTGCCAGAGAGACACAACACAAAGAAATGAGGAAGAGAAGAACTGGGAAGGGCTGAGAATGAGGAAATAAAAATTAAATGGCACGTTGCTACACAGTGAAATTCTGCAGTCATGGACTCGCAAGAATTCCTTGCTGTTTTCAATGAGATTAACATCAGAATAAACCTTATCAAAGATATTTTTTATAAATAAATAAATAATTAAAATGGTTTATATATATTATATCATATATGTTGTATAATATTTTATATTTTTATTTTTTAAGTTTTATTTTAGAATATTCTGTTAATATATGATAATATAAATGCTATAAAATTATATATAATATATATTATATAATTATATATTATATATAATTATATATTACTATAAAATTATATATCATATATAATTATATACTTATATAAAAATTATCAGATCAAATAATATAAAATACATTATATTTGATTATATATATTATAAAATATTTATTACAGCATTAATATTTCATATCTGTTTAGAGCCCGACAACTGAAGGGGAAATAATTACTTAAGCATAGCTCTGAAGACTGCACAGCTGTGGCACTGCCCAAAAAAGTCAGGAAGAACACAACACTTACAAAGCACATCATCACAATTTCATCTCATGTACTGCTGACAATAGTCAGAAATAACAGGAACGGAACTGCTGAAAAAACATGAGTTTTTCTGAGTACTGCTTTTACATTTCTGCAAAACATAGATAAGGCTTTTTTAAAGACTGTAAATCAGGGAATAAGAGAGAAAAGGAATTACAGATGTGTGACATAAAGAATAAAGGCAAAGGACGTAGAAAAGGCAGGAAAAAGGAAATTAGGACAGATGCAGAATTCAAAGGAGCACATGCTGATAGGCTCTGCACTTCCAACAGAAAACTGGAAGCTGACATCTGTACCCATACAGTTTTAAATGAGCTCTTAGTTACTGGCACTGCATCCAGGAAGGAGGCAGAGGCAAAGAATGGTATCTTAACTGAGCTCATTTCTAGGCATAAGATTAAAATAAAAAGAGAGGGATGCAATTTCATGTCAGCTCCTGGCAGCTGCTCAGCATTCCCAACTGTCCCAGCCCTGTTTGTTGTGGAGTGCTGATAATGTTCCCAAGCTGCAGAGCTTTGGAGCCCTTCTGTGATCCTTAGCTCTGCAGTTTTGGGATCCAATGGAAAAACCCCTTTTCCTGAAGGCCATTGACACATACCTTGAAAGATTCGGTCATTTGCTTTCCTGCTTCTCCTGAGAGTCCTCCACCCTAGGAAAAACAAACCCAGAGCAAATCAAATTCAGTGCACAGTGCAGGAAAGGTGATACACATTCAGTTCATTCATTTCAGACTGTACTGAATCAGCAGCCTTTGCATCAGTAAATGTATTAGCAAGAACTTTGTGGTGAGTTCTTAGCATAACTTTCCATCTTCTTGGCTCTCAGTTTTACTTCAGTTCCTTTATTTTGTGCAACTGCACTTCAGGGCTTTATATATGTAACACATATATACACACATAACATTCTAGATTAGATCATCACTCTGTAGTGCAGAACGTTATGGGCAACATCACAAGTTTTTCATTCAGAGCTGAATAAATAAATTGGGTTTTTACTCAAGTTTCTCCACTAAAGTATCTACCTAACAGGTTTGCTTCTGCCTTTTTTAAGAGACGGTTGAGTAGGCAGAATGCAAGAGAAAAGAAAGAACTGGTTTTGTTAAATCCTTCATTAAACAAAGAGTAATAAGGAATGCTCACCTATATGAATAAATAATGAGATTATTTTGCTTTGTCTACAATGTTGAACTTCAGGCTTCTGCAAAGGAACTGGGAGGGGAAAGAAGACACAAAAAAAGGGGCGGTAGTTCCAGGCATCTTTCTGTTCAACAACAGAGGGATAACAGACAGAGGGAAGCCATCTACCTAAAAATAAGATTCCCAGTTCCCACACCATCACCTCAGCATCTCTGTGGACCCTCCTGCAGTACCTGCACCTTCCCTGCCAGTTACAGCATGGAACAAAGGAGACAAAGCCCCACCACGCTTCCTTGTTTCCCAGCAGCCTTCAAGGAGCTGAAAAGCTGAAGCGGGTGCAGAGGCTTGGGAGAGGGAAGAAGGCACGAGGAGCAAGAGGCTGGGGTGATGGGCCATGAAAGAGGATGGCTGGGATGATGGCTTTAGGGAGCACAGCTGGAAGGATGGAGTGCTGTCTCTCAAGGACTCGGTGGCCGTCTCTCAGCCTTGCTGCATCTCAGGTGGGAGCTCCCAGTCCAGATAGGAAAGCCCCAGATGAAAGGTACAATCCCCTGATGGAAAGAAGCAGAGAAAGTCTTTCATGGCTGGCCTGTGAGATCCCAGCCCTTACCCACAGGGAGGGCTAGTGCAGGTGGATGGCAGTGTCAGGGACACAGCAGCCACCAAAATGTGGGGCCATGGCTGGCACCACACAGATCACAGGCTTGCACTGAAGGCAAGTAACATGGTTCTTTTCCCTTTTTACAGATCTTGGGAATATGGTAAACATTTAAAAAAAATTTAAAAGAAGCAGTATTTTCAGTGGACCTTCCACAGATCACAGCCTTGCTACCAGCAAAAAATAAAAGGCAAACTCCCAGCCACAGCAGATCTCACTTCCCCTCCCCTTCCCCCCAGGGAGCCCCCCATATCCCCTCCTGCTGCCTCTTCTCAGCTTTAACCCTTCTGTTCCTCTTTTTTTGTAACTCTCTACAGCAAGGCAGGCAATCATGGTACAGGACCCTCCCTATGCCCTAAAAGACAATGTGCCAAGAGAGATCATAAATCTCTTTACAATATCCCAGAATGCTTTATCCTTCACTAAAAATATGGTTTATTTGCCTTAAAGCTGAGGGTTTTCTACTCCAGAATGACAAGACTTTGGCACAGTGGCAGACCCAAGCAGGACTAAAGTGTCACCCAAAGCCAAGGACACTGTATAATAGCAACTCCTTGCTTTACCTGTAATTTTTCAAACACTTCCAAACCCATTGGTAAAATCCTAGAAATCCTTCCTGACACCATCAGCTGACAGTAGTGAAGCATTCCACAGATGAATAGAGGCAGCTGATTTTTCTCTGCACTGCAATGAATGAGGATGGAGAGTGTGCTGATTCCCAGCTAACAGGATGGGAATTGCCAGCTCTGGAAGAAAAATATCCTAATGCCATCATCCCAGCTCTGGAAGAAAAATATCTCAGAGAGCTCCAGCTCCACTGCTGGCTTTTGTCTAAGATCCAGCATGCCAAGTTGGATTTGCTAATAATAATTACTCGTGACAGCAAATACTGACAAGTACTCAACCATTATGCTTCAGTTTCTTCCTGTTGCTGCTTCATGGAGTTGCCCTAAAGCAAGAGCTGGCATCAGCACAGAGGACTGGAGCTGGATACAGCTTAATTTTCTCTTTCATGATCTTTCTTAAAGATACCAAGCCTGCATGTGAATTTGAAGTGCAGACCACCTACAGAACAGCCCCTGGGGGCTCCATCACATTACCCTTCAGTTCAACATTACCATGGAACTCAGTGAAGTCATCAGCCCAATTTTTGGGCACATGCCATGGGGCCAATCCTCCTCTCCATGAAGTCATTATTAATTTTTACAGATTGAACTCATATTTAAAGCAAGTAGCTAACTGCCTTTGTTAACCACACTGAGATTAAACTGAGTTAATCCCCCAGCACTAGAAAGAAATACCACAATTACTTTCTAATTAACAGAGTCATATTTTAATGGCTCCATGGCCTACAAATCTGAAACATGTTGCTAAGTGCAATATGGAAAATTGCTCCCTGGTTTAGTCCCAATGTTGCCAAGGGAGATATTCCAAACATGAATTTGCCCTTTATGTTTAATAGCATAGTAGATTTAAACCTGCCCCCATTAAAACACTGATGTTATCCTAAAGATACACTTCAGCCACTGGGTGAACAACTTCTCAAAAGTCACTCAGGAGTGTCTCAAGTAGCTGTACAATCACACAAGCATGGTATTATTTCCTATGTTGTGCTGTAGAGATATCGGTGTTTTCTCTGTAATGTATGTTATAGGAAATAGAAGAGTATTTCAAAGGTTTCCTTTGAAAACACACATTGATTTTAACATTACTGTAAAGCCTGTATGAGAATGAGGTGTAAAATTTTACAACAGATTAAACTTGGTCGAAAAATGGGGTTTGTATGTCATTTAACCACTGTGATACACCACTGAAATAAAGACCTGCTGAGCAGTAATTCTGTTATTACTTTTACTGAAGACCTCAACGCTCTAATGACCACTACAAATCCTTTAGCACTGACAGAGTAATCCCAATGCACTCAGCTGAATAACAGTGCTCCCCACATCAGCACTTAGCTCCAACCTAACTCTTCCACAAGACAGAGGAAAAGCCTCAGGGGGTATTTGTGTATGGAACACTGGCACTTCTGGCAAATCTTGGGCTAAACAGTTGTCACCTGCCCTTCTGCTAGAGCTGTCCCAAACCTGGACACTCAATTCCTGCACTTCCTGCTCAGGCTGCCTTAGACAAATACACATCCAACATCTCCTGGCACCATGGGGCTGCAGCTCATGCTCTCCCTGCTGCCTCTGGCACACCTCCTCTACTTCTTCTGTGCAGTCAGATCACTCAGCCTCCTGCTACAAAACCAGGCCCATCTCCTCCCTAAACTGCCCAGGGTTCCTAGACTGCATGAGTGTAGCTCAGCTGCTCCTGTGCCTTCACTGTGGTATTTTCAGTGTCCCCAGTCATGGGGAGGAAAGAGTCTGACTCCATGTTCTTAGAAGGCTAATTTAGTATTTTATGTTCTTATATTATATTGAAGAATACGATAGTAAAACTACTAAATTTTACTTCGGGCTACTAAGTGTCTAAGAAATATCCTATGCCTCAATTTGCACTGGAAGGATAATGAAATGAGAGCCCTTGCCAGACTGCAGGAACACAGCAGATCAATAAATCAAATCCAGGACTCACTCTCTGGCACAGGAAAGCCACAGGAGGCGTGTGGTGACAGGTACCCTGTCACTCACAGCTACACAAACCAGAGCTGCCCTCCTGCTCCAGGGTAAAACACAATCCAATGTGCACAAATGCCACAAAATCTGTATTGCTACAGCCAGGCAAGAACACTGCCACGACTTCAAAACAGCTTTTATCTGTCCCTAGGAAATATTAATACAATTTGGCAGCCACATCACATAAAAGATGAATTTGCAGGAAAAAAAAACATTCACAGCTAAACAAACAAACAAACAAACAACAACAACAAAAAACCAAACCAAACCAAAAAAAACCTAAAAAACACAAAAAAACCCCCAAAAACCCCCCAAAAAACCCAACACACCCAAAAAAAACAAAAGAAAACACCCCACACAGTCAGACAGAGAAAATTTGCTAATTTTGTGATATCATAGTATTTTTAGTATCAACTAGAATTTATTTATTTTATTTATTATTTTAGTTAGTTATTATTTATTTAATTTTTTTTATTTATAATTTTTTATTATTTATTTATTAAATCTTGTGAAATATTTCCATAGCTTAAGAAGCTCATTTATGGAAGCCAAGAGCTATAAAAGCACTTCAATCCTGTCTCCATACTGCAGGTATGTGAACATGAACATACACAACACCGGTCTGTGCCACCCTGCATATGCCACGAAGTTCATGTGTTGGGCAGGGCCATTTACACAATTTACAGTGCTAATTTCTGCACTCCCGATACATTTTTCGGACTGTTCCTCCTCACACAGATCCTCCCTGATGCCTTGTCAGCCTGGCATTGTCACCTCACTGTAGCTGCCTGTCCAACCTTGGGCTGGCACTAATGTTAGTTAAACAGAGGCTGTGCAATGACAGCACACAACAAAGAAAAGCACAAGGCAACTAGTGTAGCAGAAAAACAGGGCTTCCACACTATTTAATAATCATTTTGCCTCACAGTGAGGGCATTGGGGCACAGAAAATACAAAGGTTTTATGTACAAGACAGCTGCATTGTACAAAATAAGGTTGAATTGAAATAGATTGTAATTAAATTAGTCTGAAAAACTGTGCAGGCACTTATCCCTGACTTGAGCAGTTCATTGGCTTTAATTTAAACCAGTTTAATTAGTCTGACTAAAACTGAAATATGTTCCTCTTAAAACAAGCATCACTGTTTTTATTAGGCTTAAATAAAAGACGATTCAGATTATATGAGCACAA